AAGAATGCTCAAAACGCGAAACGGGCTTGGGCCAGATAACACCACCGCTCAAGCATCAGGCAACATCACTCGGGAAAGAATTGCGACGGCTTTGCTAGAGCAGTAGGTTAGCGGAAAAAGTACCGAAAATTTCTCTCTAGTACATATCTTGATCTCTTCGAGTCGAACACAAATTTCAACTCTCAATTGTACTTCCAAATAAAATTTCAACTAGAATTTGCTAAATAAACGTCGAATATGATTCCAAATGACATTTTAAATAGAATCGGGTCACACCATAATTCTAACAAATTTCACCTTGACATGAATTCTACTACAATCAACAAACTTAAAAAAATTTCCACTTGGGAGACAAATTCCATTACAAGAAATAAATTTCAACTCTTCAATAAAGAACACAAACGAAATTCTCCATCAAGATTTCCAACGGAAAATATTTTCCAAAAATCTGCCACCTAATTAGGGCAAAATTAAAGAACTGAGTATTAACAAAATTCTAAGCATTGTACTTGGCTATCACCAAATAGGGCAGAAACAAGCCCTGAAACAGAATTACCAAAACTGAATGCATCAAAAGAACGATCTTATCTAGAATCAACACATTTAACCGCATTCAAACCATCAACTAAATCAACAGAATTGTATATATGTACTTGGATATCACAAAATAGGGCAAAAACAAGCCCTGAAATAGAATTACCAAAATTGAATGCATCAAAAGAATGATCTTACCTAGAATCAACATCTTTAACCGCATTCAAACTATCAACTAAATCAACAGAATTGTATATATGCTGAGTCTTATGACAAAAAATGGGTCTACTAGTAACTGAATATAATGACTCCGTCGATAATGGTGGTAAGACAGATTTATCCATAACTTTTAAATTCAATTAAGATGTATTCTTGATGCAGGAGGGTTTGAGTCAGATGCTAAGTTGTCAGATAATACGTTAATGGTTCTAAGGTATCATGAGTTGGCAGATCGGGGCAAGGATGGCAAGTGATTGCGTAACTTTGGTAATTAAGTCGTGTTTCGGTAATTTGGCCATAACTTTGGCTACGATTATCAGAATTGCAATTATGACCACAATCCAGAAAGCTCGTTTCGGCGTGCACGTCGTGGCCACCCAACTATGCTTGGTATATGCCATTTCAATCCTCAAATTCCGTTGTTTTCCCTTCCAAATTGCTATTTTTAGTTAATTTTTGCTATTTTTTGTAATATTTCGATTGCATGTTAGGAGATGATTTTTAACCCGATTTGGGCTAGATTTTTTTGCAGAATACTTATTTTATTCCATATTTTCATTTGGCGTGATTTTTGAAATTTTGTCATTTTTGGTAAAATTCGAATTTTGGCTATAAAGTCCAGCTTGTGGACTTATTTTGATCATTGTGTGATATAATAAAATTCTTTAAATTTCAGAGATGTTTTCTCTGTGTTTTTCAACGTTAATCTTGCGTTCTTCCCTATGAATTTGCTGATAAAACTAGTCTACAGAATAATTACTATTCTATCCAGCGTCAATTCTTTAAAGAAAATCACAAACTAGACTCTAATGGTACAGAATCCAACTCCAGTTTCACTTAAGTTGTTCAAATATGCTGATTGATCAAAGATTTTCTATAATAATACAAAATATATAAATGGGATTTTCTAAATCACTTTAGCAAAACACGAGCTCTTTTATTAACTTTCAGGACTCAATATTCAATAGTGTACATATACCCTTTTAAGTCAGAGAGTATTTAAGGAGATAAGATTTCTCTTCAAATCTGAAACTTGTATCACTACATCAAGGGTTCTAACTGTCCCATCAAACATCTTTATTCTGACTCTACCAGTACTAGCTATCCGACAAGGTGTATTATTATTGGTCATCACAGTGCCTTTTGAAACTTGAAAATAAATCCCGATTGGGAAACATATGAAAAGTGTAAGCAGTATCAAGAATTCAAGTAGCCATATATAAGTAAAAACTCTCCATCACTATTAGGACTTTATACAATACTTGTTTCCCCTGAAGTTTATGATTATTGATTTACAGTCAATTTTTCTTTTTTCTATTACTTATAACAATTGTTTATTAAGTAATCGTTTTTCTTATAATAATTACAAAATTTGAAGTTAGATTTTAATTTACCCATTGCACGACCACCATCAATATTAAGGTCATTTCCATGAACTTCAGATGCAATAAGATGCTTCATCTTCTCCTTTGAATATAAAGTATCATAAATTTCTTCGATGGTAAAAGTATCACGACTATATAAAATTATGTCTCTAAAAGACATCCATGAATCGAGCAATGTGGACAATAAAATCAATCACAAATCTTTTTTCATCATATTTGACCTCAAAGGTCTCCAAATCAGCAATAATTTCGTTAAAAGCAATTAAGTGATCCTCAAGAACTGTATCTTCTGTCATTCAATGAGAATATAGACGTTACTTCAGGTGCAAATTTCTAGTAAAACTCTTCGTCATGCATAATAGCTCTAATTTTAATCATAATGCAGTAACTGACTTCTCTTTCAAAGCGTCATAAAGAATATTATTTGAAAGATGAAGATGCATTTGAGATAGAACATTTCGATCCTTCCATTGTTTCTTCTTTGAAGTCCAATGTTTGAGCATCTTGTCAAATCCCAACAATGCTTAATCCATATCCATATAAGTGAGTACTGCTCGCATCTTCACCTACCACAAAGAGAATTTTGTATTGTAATCTAATAGCAGAATATCATATTTCATAATTACTATCACGAAAGATCAAAATGAGCTCTTAACTTGATCAAATCATCGATCTCCCAAGAATTTCCAAGCCCTTGGTTCTGGTACCTATTGGTTGAAAACGAAGATGATATCGGATCACTATGATATCACTTTGCCGAAGAAAATATGAGATTATGAGTACAATATGAAATAATTGATCACTAGAACAAAATAATTTTCAAAAAATGGAGAAAAAATAAAAAGATTTTACATTTATGACTTATCTAGCTTGGTGTAAAATACAATGAAGAGCTAAACACATATAGGGAACGTCCCCTAAATTAAAGTTATAGATGGAAAAGAATGCCCAAAATGCGAAACAGACTTGGACCGAATAACACTGTCTTTCAAGCACTAGGCGAGCAGCATCGGCGGGCGCCAACTCTCGAGACAGAATTGCCACAACGTTGCTCGAGTAGTAGGCTAGCGAAAATGTGCCGAAAATTTCTCTTGATCTATACCTTGATCTTTTCAAGTTCAACAAAAATTTCAACTCTCAATTAGACTTGGTTTAATTTTTTTGTATTTATTACATGTGATATTTATCCCTTAACAAGTCTTGTTAAGAGTAGTAGTACAAACTCTTATATATTAATTTATAATTTTGTACTTATTCAACGTAGAATTTATCCCTTAATTAACTACTTAACTGCAAGGATTAATTTTGAACGATTGTATAGCAAAATGAACCAAGTGATCAATGGAAGGATGCAGAAAGAGACAGGCTACCAGCTTTAGCTTTTCATGAAGTTTTAATAATTTTTGAGGTCACGCGTGCACTAAAAAATACATACAAAGGGTGCATTGGACGGTGCTTAATTTGGCAACCTTTACCTTTATATGTAAAGAATAAATAAAATGTTTCTACCTAACTATAAACTGAAAAATGTAGGCCCTGCCATTTGAGTTCCAACTAGCTTCAATTCCTCTTTATACCATAACTTTTCTCTGTCCTTTTAGCCATTGCTAGTTTTTGCTGTGAATAACCAGATATAATTGTCATACATGCCATTCAAAATGTCCATGATAACTGTATCCATTCGCGAAGAAGAAGAAATGCCAATTTTAATTGGTACCATCTCGCCGGCACAAATTTGAACAATTCATAATAATTGTGTTCAGAAGCTTAGTAGTACTCGATGTGTAATTATCATGAAGAGCCATGAGATAAATGAGTGCCCCCAACATTCATTGAGAATTTTCTTGCGGATCCAAGCAAAGTTTGAGTAATTAGCATGAAATTTCATATATAGTTTCGAGATCAACAAAGCTTTTATTTTTGCGCAATTAGAATAATAACACTAGATCAGAAATAGCTATATATGTTGAAAATGCATTCTCATTGAGTGCTTGATCTACCTGGTACAATTTGAATTCTTAATTTCTTCAAAGAATCTCTGTACTCCTGCAATGTTTTTCCATAAATTAAATTATCCGTGTGCACTTTTACTTTGTTTATACAATACTTGGAACAAAAGAATCGGGTGGACAGTCAGACAGCAATAAAGTATAAACTAAAAAAATAAAATTAACTACCTCGTCAGCTTATGATTAGATAACGATAATGTTACCATTATTTGTACCATATACAATTAAAAATTTAAGCAATCAAAGAGAAAATAAATTTTATTTTCGATGAGCTTAGGTTCACTTTTTTCACGACTTCACATGTACAAAACATTTTTTTTATATAAATCAGTGGTGGTAAGATTTTAGTATACGACTTATGCATGTTCTAATAACATGCTGAACACCTCATCTAAAAGTTTAACTCGTTAGAGTGGAAATAAATTGTTTAATTACATCGTCTGCGTGTCACTTTTTGTATTGAGATTCATCTCTTCATCAGATATTGCATGACATATGAATAGTTTTTTGGACGAATGAGAACGATGAGATTACTTGATATGTTTGCTAAGGTGGATTGAATAGTATTAAAAAATATATATTTCCCGTCTACGAGACATACCCATATTCTTTTGCAAAAATAAACAATAACTACCTTCAAGAATTACTTAAAAGCTTGACTTCCAAAATTGGTTTTGACATAATAAAACACAATTTATTTCATTCATAGAAACAGGAATTGTACATATTATCCCTGCAATGCAAATCCACACCATCTCCTCCTTGCAGTAAAAATATTGCAAAAGGGCAGCCAACCCCCCCCCCCCCCCCCCCCCCCCCCCCCACAACAAAAAATAAAATCATATCACTATTATCAACATCTATCTTCATATGCTCTTGATATTCTTCTTACCAAGTCATTTCCACTTTTCACACAGTAATCCATGCTTGACGGAACAAGGGGTGCCTGTGATTTTCCATATGAATTCCAGCACAATGCCTGCTGGATTCCTGCACATCCTGGAGAGGGTTTTAATTGGATATCAATTAGATCAACATCGATGCATGGAACGGAATTACTGCAGGCTAAATGAATTGGTTGCGCAGAATAAGTTCCTATTATTTGATCGAATTTGACTCCTGAAACTGCCACTGCTCCTGTTTGATTCTTGCATATGTTCTTGTCACAGTAGTATTGATCAATCATTATTGGGACCTGAACTTCTGAGAGTTGTATGTTGGAAAATGTCACGTTTTTTACTGATCCAAGACCACCCTACAACATAAAAAGATGAATAAGGAAATTTAGATAACATAAAATATAATTGGAATAAAGTTGACAGTTTTAGATATCATGTAAAATATTGTATAATTTGCTCATTTTCTGATTGACGTTTGCAGTGTTTGTTCTCTCTAAGTTAGAGACTAAGGTTTATCTCGTAACACTTGCCGCTACAGGTTTCACTGTAAGGCAGGGACGGACTTAGGGCCCAGTCCAGTCCCCGGCCCATTAATGTTTTTTAGGGCTAAAAACAATTTATGAGTAAATTTATTTTTTTCTACTCATTATCCCGGCTTGTAGTTAAGTCCTCAATCCGTCTCTACTGTAAGGTGAAACAATAGTAAAAGGTGATCTCAGTCTCAGCATTTCAAAGTAGAGAAAAACTGATCTCCTCAAATCCATAGGAATATTAAGTTGATCTGTGATCGAGGAATAAGTATAATTAGACTATAGACAGTCCAATATCTTTAGGTTCATAATCGTACCTGCCATGTCTTGATCCTTGCGCCATAAAGAGTGTTTGCCATGACAATGTTTTCAACTTTGATATTTGAGACACATGCAACACTCTTGTCTTTCCCTAGTCCTCCTAAACTGTGGTTTCACAAATCAGTAATCAGTATTTATTCATCTCCCAAAATTTTCGAATTATCAATTTTATATGTAATAATTACCTTATTCCATGTCCAGGGCCACAGCCAATATGATGGATATGAACGTTGGAGCAGCCAGTTTGTATTGATACACAATCATCTCCTGCCAGAAAAAAACAAGGCAAGTTAGAAGGCAGAACGGCAACTTTCTGTTTATCACCGGTATGATGTCTGGAAATTTGGTATTGTTGGGAGCAAACAAGAAGTCCCACATCAGTTGGGAGAAGAAAAGAAATCCACTATATAACCAAAGTGGGCTACTTCACCCATTGTCAATTGGTTTTGGGTTGGAACATCACTTGGGCTTGGTGGTGTGGGCTTGGGCCGGTCAATTTGCTCATTATTTTTTCCTACAACTGGTATCAGAGCCTAGAGTCGGAGGAACGCAGTAGAAAGCGTGGTGGCGATCGGGCTAAAAATCATTCGCGTTTGAGGTGCCTTGTGTCGAAAGTCTTCCTGACATTGGTGGTTAGGCGGCGGGTCCCGTTTGGTCGAGGGCGTCGATAATAACGGCAATACAAGATGATTGGCGAATGGATTATCGTTTGAGGGGATGCCACAATGATATGGTCCTTCGTTTGAGGGGAGGATTGTTGGGAACAAACAAGAAGTCCCACATCAGTTGGGAGAAGAAAAGAAATCCACTGTATAACCCAAGTGGGCTACTCCACCCATTGCCAATTGGTTTTGGGTTGGAATCTCACTTGGGCTTGGTGGTGTGGGCTTGGGCCGGTCAATTTGCTCATTATTTTTCCCACAGGTATGCGCGACTGGATAAGATTCAAAAGGATGAAAGAAAACAGGCATATGAGATAATTGTTTATTATCCTGTCCAATCACATATGATGTAAATATTAAACAGGCTTGCATAGGTTCTTGACTGAAATTTTTTATGTCTTACCACATGCAATGTTGGAATGCTGGATTTCTACGTCTTTGGTGTTCTGCAGGTGAACCCCATCAGTGTTTGGGCTAGTTTCAGGTGCAGAAATTGTAATATTATTGATCTTCACTCCTTCAGAGTTGTCGAATTTTAAGTGACAAAGAGGACTATTTACGATTCTAATATCGCGAACAGTGACATTGTAGCTAGCATAGAATCTTAAAGCCTGTCATCAGCGATTAAATTCTATATCAAATTGTATTTTTTGCGAACAGTGACATTGTAGCTAGCATAGAATCTTAAAGCCTGTCATCTGCGATTAAATTCTATATCAAATTGTATTTTTTTCGCAATTTCTATATCAAATTGTATTTTTTTCGCGAAAACAAATGAAGAGATGCAGAGTTCTGTGAAAGCAAGCCTCAAATGAAACTGTAGGTTTGAGAAATTTCTTACAGTCGGTTTCATGTCTGGAATAATCTTGGATCTCTTCTTCTGTCAACCAATCATGATAAAGAAAAAAAAAAGATTAACAAAGACTATTTTCTCACCAATTTTCACGCAAATGATATGATCACATTTCCACAAACCTTCAAGGGAATTATTTGTGAAGAACTCCACCAATTAGAACCTTGCCCATCAACTATACCTGTACCTTGGATGGTAAAATTATATAGCCATTTGAAGTTTATCCACTGATACAAACTGGATTTTGGCCATGAACCGACATTCGGAGGGGCCAAAATAGTCCCATCAATCTGTTTGGATTTCCATTAATTAGTACATTTTACTTCAAATAGCTGGTATAAACTTCCAAACAAAGAAGAATAAATCTCCTAATATTTTTCAATTTTTAGAAGTGTGTGGATTTTTTATGGAAAAATGTAGGGAATATGGCTTAATTCGTAACAGTTCACTGACCTGAAAAACTAGGCGTGTCATGCAGGGACCTTGAAGTGTTATGGGTTTGATGAGAAACTTAAATTCTGAAGGAATTTCTACTACAGCTCCAGTCACTTTGCAAGCACTTTTCCAGGCTGCTAAAAGTGCCTGTTTGGTTAAAACATTGACCTGATAGATTAGAGTCATGTTGAATATTCAACAGAAAAATAAATAAAACATCAAATGTGTATACTCATATGCAATCTGCTTTACCTTGGAATCATCAGAAACTCCATTACCCTTAGCTCCAAATGACAAGATATTGAAAGTGGCCGACTGCGTTGGATACGCGCCAGACGGTGCAGGAGCAGGAAAGTTTGCAACATAATTACCATTCCTTTGTTCATTATGCTTGTCCATTTTGCTCTTATTCTTATGGTTTTTCTTCGCCTCGACGGAAAATGCAGCGAAAAGTATGAGCCGAAGTACAAAAATAAAAAGGAGAGAGGAAATTTTGTTTTCCTTCATGTTAGAATTTTTCACTTCCTTTTCTTCAATGAATGTTTTGCAGCAGAGGCTAATGGCTGGTTGATGAATTTGAGGTGCCACTTTTGTTTGAAACTGAGAATGAAGTGGCTATAAGTGACCGTTTATATAGTTGTACACTAGATCAGAAATAGCCCTACTAATGGCTTCAAATAACAAGTGTACCCTTTGTAATATATATATATATCGTTTTGACATAAGATTTTGAGCCTCTCAAGAGTCGAGAGACTTAATCTCTCTCATTGTTCGTACTTAGCATCTTTTCTAATGATAAGTAGCAGAATGACTAGATTTTTGCCCCATTCCTCTTTCGTTTGTGGATTTTGATGAAAGTCGATGAATTATGTAGTTAAAAAGTTATGAGTCTCAATAAATTTGTAATTAAAATTAATTGTTGACTTTGATTTAGATAAATAATTAGATTTTAATCCCCACCAAATAGAGGCATAGTACTCTTTTTAACTAGTACTAAGTTATAGCATGCTTATATGTCGTGCACTGCTCATGATGTGTAGTACATTAAAAGGAAGAACTTGTAATTCATTTTTATGAGAGTAATAATATATTAAATGAATCACAAACAAGATTTTTGACGTTTCCTTCAATATGAGAGCTACATTCACTTGTTAATTCAATTTTCATCGTAATGGAAATGAAGAGTACAATTTTCTCAACCTTCTCACATGCAACATCCTTACATTAAAAATCCTTTAAATTGTAGGAATTTTAGTACAGTCCGTTTCATGTATGGAATACTCAATACACCATCCAATAATAAGACTAGGCAATATACCCAATAACATGTCGATGTGCGATCTAACGTGCAAGCGTTCCCAGCCTCTAGGCTGTTGGAATTAATTGATTTATTTGAATCATTAAATATGTTATTTAATGATGTTTATTTGAGTCATTAAANGACATAGAATAATTGCTCGATTTGAGCCGAATTTTGGTGATATTGTTTCTTTTATTAAGTATTTTATTTTGGTATGAATATTAGGATTTTGCTATTTTTGGCAAAATTCCGATTATTATTATTTTCTGGCTATTTAACCCGGCTTGTGGGTTATTTTCATTCAGTTGTTGAATAATAAAGAATTTTCTCGTTTTTTTCTTTGTGTTTCTCTTGCGTTCTTCTCTGTTTTTGTCAATTGAACCCAGCCGCAAAATAATCACTATTCTACCCGGCGTCAGAGCCTCTCAAGAGTCGAGAGACTTAATCTCTCTCATTGTTCATACTTAGCATCTTTTCTAATGATAAGTAGCAGAATGACTAGATTTTTGCCCCGTTCCTCTTTCGTTAGTGGATTTTGATGAAAGTCAATGAAATATGTAGTTAAAAAGTTATGAGTCTCAATAAATTTGTAATTAAAATTAATTGTTGACTTTGATTTAGATAAATAATTAGATTTTAATCCCCACCAAATAGAGGCATAGTACTCTTTTTAACTAGTACTAAGTTATAGCATGCTTATATGTCGTGCACTGCTCATGATGTGTAGTACATTAAAAGGAAGAACTTGTAATTCATTTTTATGAGAGTAATAATACATTAAATGAATCACAAACAAGATTTTTGACGTTTCCCTCAATATGAGAGCTATATTCACTTGTTAATTCAATTTTCATCGTAATGGAAATGAAGAGTACAATTTTCTCAACCTTCTCACATGCAACATCCTTACATTAAAAATCCTTTAAATTGTAGAAATTTTAGTACAGTCCGTTTCGTGTATGGAATACTCAATACACCATCCAATAATAAGACTAGGCAATATACCCAATAACATGTCGATGTGTGATCTAAGGTGTAAGCGTTCGCAGCCTCTAGGCTCCACACATACTACGACTACATTGCTAAGATTAGCGATAGCTGAACAACTTGATTAAAATTCGTGTTTGGCTATTTTGATGTGTCCTTCTACGGAACATTTGCTACATACAAGAAACACGAGAAAAAAATTGTCAATTGTCCTATCCAATCTTATACATTCCATTGTACCATACACGAAAGTTGAACTCTAAACCATGGTTAATAACTAATAATGCAGAACTTTATTGTTTATGTCCCACTATTCCTCTTTACAGTACTTAAATGTGCTTTATTTGAACAATAATTTGCAGTTTATCTTTTTAATTATAGGATCATTGTTGGAAAGTCAGTTTCCTGTCCATCTGTTTGTGCAAAGTTCTTAAATTTTAAAGGGCATGCTTATAATAGATTACCCATTAATTAGGACAGTGGAAGTTACAACAAAGAATCAAGTAGGAAAAGTTAAGTTTCTATAGCTGTCTTTTCTATATCCTATGTAAATAAAATTTGTCCAACTTTTTAAAAGGAAACCATGTTTAATTGCTTATAAAAAGGTGAGCCGCCACCAAAAAAAAAAAATTTGTTTAGGCTTCCGCCACCAATTACTTAAGCAACAAAAAGTTACATAATAGTATTTGTTTAGTTTGTTAAACTAGACGGGACGGGACGGGACTCAACACATAAGGAAGAAATACATGGAAATAATATTTTCATTGTTGTATATTTCTAAAGTGACTTTTGACTAGGAAATAGAATAAAAAAAATGTGAAAATATAATTTTACCTGGAAAAAGTCAAAAATACACCCACTTTGTCAAAAAGAAAGCTCTCACTCACGGATCTGGGCCGACTGTCACTTG